TATAATTTTAAACGGTTATTAATATTTAAAACCAAAATTCATGGGATTTATGTTCCGTCTCATGATAGAGCCTTGTATAACACTGTTTACAATGACTCAAGTTGGAGAAATATGCTACTTAATAAAATGACTACGGAGGTCAAATTTCAACGGATGTCCAGTGTTTAATTTTGGTCCGGGTTTAAGAAATTTGTACAAATATAGAAGAAAATTTTACACCCTATAGAAAACCTTAGTACCCTATTTATTTTAAATAAATACCATTTTAAAATATTACATCCTATAGATACCTTTTATACTTTATAACCAAATATCTATTTATAGTTACATCCTACGTTTAAGGCACCATATATGCTAAATAATATTTTTCTCTCTCCTTTTTAGTCTTTTCTCTCACATAATCACCGTAAAATTGACTAACCACGTTCTCTCTCTTTATGCATACACTTTACTCTTTCTCCCTCAACTCACGATTCATACCTCTTCTCCCACCCAAATTCTCTAGTTCTCCTCCATTATCACTCCATTACAATCGCTTAGGGTAAGTTTAATTCGTTGATTTTGATAGACGAAGAGCAATTGGTTCAACTGTAGCCGCTCGATTCTGCATGGCAGTGGTCGTCGAAGTAGGGTTCACAGCTTTTGTGTAATTCATGGCTTCGTTTGTGGGATTTGAGGGCTGGGGATTGTTTGTAGTTGTTGTAGGAGGTTGGGCAGATGTGTTAGGGGGCTGACTAGCCGGAATTAATAGCTGGCCGCCGGCCGGCGAAGCCATAAGGCTGTTTCTCTCTCTAGATCGCCCAAATCGCCTATTTGTATTCAGTTGTATTCGAATGTATATTTCAGCTGTATTCACATGTATTCAGCAGCATTCATTTATATATTTTAGATGTATTAAAAAGTTATGCGTATTCTCTTGTATTCAGTTTTAATCAGTTGTATTTAACTTTTTTATTCAGCGGTAGTTAGTTGTATTCAAGTGTTTTATACAACTGTATTCAGTTGTATTCAGTTGTAGTTAGTTATATTCAACTATTTTATTCAGCAGAAGTTAGTTGTATTTTGTTGCATTCAAGAGTTTTATTCAGCTGTATTCAGTTGTATTTTGTTGTATTCAAGCATTTTATTCAGATGAATTAAGTTGTATTTTGTTGTATTCAACTGTATGCAGTTCTACTCAACTGTATTATTCATATGTATTTCTCTTTATTCAGCTATAATCTTTATTATGTATCTTTCAAATACAAGTACAATAAAGTTCTTGTTATTTTTGGATCTGTCTGAATGTCGTCGTGTACTTGCGTTACACAATTTTTTTGTGTCTTCATATCGCTGCCTAAAATTCTCCACTGTTTCTTATGACCTTTGAGTCTAAATAATAAAGACATAAAGCTTGGTGCTTCGAATCATAGTCATGGCAGTGAAGAAGAAGAGAAACATAACTTCTTTATTTTTAATCATTGTCAGAGACAAAGAGAAAGTTAATGATACAAAAAGGGTGGAAGAGAAACAAAGCTTTATCTGTTCCTAAAATTAAAAGCTTTCTCTGCTCCTAAAGTTGAAGGGGCTGGCGGGTGTAATGAGAAAGAGGAAAGGAGAAACTAATTTTTTCTCTTTAATTGGAGCATGCTGCTTCACGTCTGCGGCGGCTGATGCTAACAGATGAGGGTTTCGTCCTTTTCCTCTAATTTAAACAAAAAACCCAAAAAAAAAACGTGGGCAGCCTCTATGATGAAGTTAATAGCCTGTTTGGCCAAGCTTCTAAAATCTGCTTACTTTGAAAAGTGCTTTTTTCCAAAGTACTTTTAAAAAAAGTGCTTTTGATGAGAATAGTTTGTGTTTGGCTAATTAATTAGAAAATCACTTTTGAGCAGTAATTAGTGTTTGGCCAAACTTTTGAAAACTGCTTCTAAGTGTATTTTTCTCAAAAGTGCTTCTTAGAAAAGTGCTTTTGGAGAGAAGCTACTTTTTTCTGCTTCTCCAAAACTGCTTCTGCTTCTCCTCAAAAGCACTTTTTTTCCTTCCAAAAGCTTGGCCAAACACCTCAATTTTTGGCCAAAAGTGCTTTGGGCCAAAAAAACCACTTTTGGCCCAAAAAAAAAGCTTGGCCAAACAGGCTATAAAGAAGCATGGGCTTCTTCTTTTTTTGAAGTTTGGGCTTCAAATGTTGCATTGCTCCTTTTCTTTCAAAAGTTGACAAATTTAGTAATTGGGTTAAAGACCCATCCGAAATTGACCTGTTTAATTTAGACATTGGGCTAATGGCTAACTTTTATATGTCTTGTTTAATTTATTGTGGGCTAATGGCCTAAACAAAATTTAAATTTAATTCTGTAATTTTTTAAATAAAATAAATCAGATTATAAATTAGTCATATGGACTTAATTTTTAGAATATAAATTTAGTATTTGTATTCTTTTAATGAAACTATAATTGTATTATTATCCCAATTGCTTAAAATGTTAATTTGTTTAACATTAAATTTATTTGTTAATTCGTTTAACATGCTAAAAATGTTAATTTGTTAATTCGTTTAACATGCTTGAAATGTTAATTGTTATAACATTACTTTGGTTAAACAAGAAAAGTGTGTCGACAATATACATATCGCTTTTTTCTCTCAAGGCGCACGATAGTGGTGTTTCTACCGTTTGCCTCACCGGAATGGGCCGGGCGAAAAAGGCGGTGAAGAAGATCGAGATTTCAGCTGTGAAGGTGAATAAGGCCAATCGTCGATTGGTTGGGAAAGACGAACTAGGGCTCGTAGGAGGGCCTGGTGTTACTGTAAGTGTTTTGATGAATACTGCCCCAACTAAGCTTGGGACTGCCATAACTCTGCCGATAGGGTAGAAGAAAGCAAACTACAGTCGTAAATCCGGTGGAAAAGACCCTTAATCCAGCGGAAAATAACCTTAAGTCTCCGATGAGGGTGGAAAGCAAGCAAAATTCGGGTGGGATTTCAATGGAAAAAACTCCGAATTCTCCGATTAGGGTGGATGGAAAGTATATCTCGAATGTGTCTTCAATGGAAAAAACCCTTACCTCTCTGATTCGGGTGGAAGGGAAGCAAAATTCCGGTGCAAACTCAGTAGGAAAAACTAGGAAGCAGACCCCAAGGCTTACAGAGAAGGCAAGGAATGAATGGTCAATGATGGCTGAGGTAGGAGTTGGAAAGTCGGCGATAGAGGAACCAAGTGGTGCGCAGAGGATTCTGAACATGCCTGTTGAAAAAGAGGGAAAGACATGGGCTACTCTCTTTACTGGGAACAGATTTGCTACGAAGGGGATGGACTTAGAGTACATTGCGCCACTAATTCAAGACGGGGTCAAAGTGGTACAACTTCACAAGGAGGAGGTTGAGGTAGAAAATGACAAATGGAGGAAGGCCATAATCTTGTATGTAGTTGGAGCTTCTCCCACAATCGGTGCACTAGAACGATTCATTGCTGCTCAATGGAACTTCACAGCTAAACCAAGAATCTACTATCACAATGAGGGGTATTTTGTTATTCTCTTTAATAGCATAGAAGATAAAAATGAAGTGTTATACTCTGGGCCGCATACCATGAATAGCAGGCCTATTATATTGAAACCATGGACTGTGAAATTTAATTTCCATGATGAAGTTTTGAAAACTATTCCAATATGGGTTCAGTACCCAAATTTGCCATTGAACTGTTGAGTAAGAGATCACTAAGCAGAATTAGTAGCAGTTTGGGCACTCCATTATATACGGATGACTGCACATCTAGTATAGACAGGATCTCATATGCCAGGGTGTTAGTGGAAATGGACATCTCTAGGCCATCACCAAGAAGCATTATGGTACAAGATCCTGATGGTGAAGTATTTGAACAAGCTGTTGACTACGATTGGATTCCAGAATATTGCAATGACTGCCTAAAAGTTGGTCATATATGTGTAGAGAAAGGTAAACAGGTGGTACAGGAACCAAAAAAAGAAGGTCCAGAGGCCAAATTTACAATGGAAAAGCAAACAAACACGGGAGCAGAAAATGGAGAAACCTATAGACACGCCAAATGCAGTAGGTACAGTACAAAATAATGTGTTACCACAGAAGGCAAATGTTGTTAGCCAAGCAGTAGCAAAACAGAAAGATGTACAAACAGAGAAGGCTACTCAACAGGGTAGTAAAGAGTGGCAAGAGGTCAGGGGCAAGTCAACAAGTAAGGCTCAAACAGTTACCAAAGCTTCTACAAATAAAGTACCAACTAATAATGGTTTTAGTATGCTAGAGGATCAAAGAAGTGAGCATGGCTTTACAGATGCAGTGAAGGACAGAGGACAGTGTAGTCATGAGATGTCGGGTCTTAGTACCCAACCTTTTGCAATATCATAATGAAAGTGGTTACATGGAACGTTGGGGGACTAAATAAAGTATATAAGCAGAAGGAGGTGAAGGAGTTTATCAATAAAAATAAGATTGGTATGCTTGCAATTATAGAACATAGAGTTAGGGAGCAACATGCTAATCTAATAATAAGAAAGTTACTGGAAGATGGAGTTGGTATGCTAACTATGATGCAGGTATAAGGGGCAGAATTTGGATTATGTGGGATCCTGACTTGGTGGAATTTACGTTGATTGAAACAAAAACTCAGTACATACATGGCCTGGTTAAAATTTATGCATTAAATGTGGAATTTGCTTTCACAGTATTCTATGGTCTACATACTATCCAGGATAAAAGAAGTTTATGGACTGGACTTGGAAATCTAGCTAACTCAGTGCAGGGTCCGTGGGTAGTTATGGGAGACTTCAACTCTATTATAGATGCATAAGATAGAATAGGGGGTGTACCTGTCCAAGATGTGGAAACCAGAGACTTTAGAAGTTTCCTGGTTGACTCTAGATTGGTGGAACTAAAATCTGTGGGAAGAAGATATACTTGGACAAATTCACATGTATTTAGCAAGATAGATTGGGCCTTTGTCAATTCAGATTGGATACATGTTATGCCTCATTTAGAAGCCACGATTATGAATTCGGGATGCTCAGATCATTCCCCTATAGCAATAAATTTTGAAGACGCTCCTGGTAGAGGTCATAGGCCATTCAGGTTCCTTAACTGCCTATCTGATCATCCAAATTTCATCCAACTTGTGAGAGAAGCATGGTCGATACCAGATCATAACCATTCCATGTATAAGATATGGGCACGACTGAAGAATGTCAAACAGGATATGAAACAACTGAATATAAAGGAGTTCTCTGGTATTGAGAACAAAATTATAAATCTCAGAGGTCATCTTGATGAAATACAGGCTAGAATGAGAGATCTTGGTCATACATATGATCTCTTTAAAGAGGAGAAGGAACTGAAGCTCCAGTTAGAAAAATGGTCCTTAATTGAAGAAGGCATAGCTAGACAAAAGTCTATGATACAATGGTTGAATACAGGGGATTCCAATACTAAATTTTTCTATGCAAGTATGAAAGGGAGACATGTGCAAAATCAGATCAGACGGATAGTAAATGTAGAGGGTATCCTGCTGAACTCTGAAACTGATTTTGAGCATGAGATTACTGATTTTTTTAGGAAGTTACTCGGCACTGCTGCTACTTATCTTCCTGCTATTGATCCTAGAGTACTCAAGTTGGGGCATAGATTAACTAGGCAACAACAATTGGATCTTATAGCCCCTGTTACTAAGCAGGAAGTGTATGATGCTCTCAATGAAGTAGATGACAACAAGGCCCTAGGTGTTGATGGTTTCAATGCAGTTTTCTTCAAGAAAGCATGGTCAGTTGTGGGTGACGACATCACTCAGGCAATCTTGGGTTTCTTTGAGTCTGCTAATATGTGCAAGCCTCTCAACTGTACATCCGTGACGCTAATACCAAAATAAAAAATGCCTCCACCATCAAAGAGTTTAGGCCCATCTCTTGTTGTACTACAATGTACAAAATCATTTCAAAAATCATTAATTGGAGAATGCAAACAATGATGAATAGTTTAATAGACTCAAGTCATGCTGCATTTGTTCCGGGGAGGATAATAGCAGATAACATTATTCTTGGACACGAATTGGTCAAAGGGTATGGAAGGAAGGACATCTCCCCAAGGTGTATGTTGAAGATTGATATGCAAAAGGCTTATGACTCAGTAGAATGGGCTTTCCTTGAGCAGGTTTTGATTCACCTAAACTTCCCCGAGAAGTTCATAAAGTGGATCCTGGCATGTGTGAAAACAGTTTCTTATTCTATTGTCATCAATGGAAAGCCGACCATACCTTTTGAAGCTAAAAAGGGATTGAGACAAGGGGATCCCCTCTCCACTTTTCTTTTTGTGCTTGTCATGCAATATTTTGGCAAAAAGTTAAAGACGTTGTATACTGCAAAAAATTTCAAGTACCATCCAAAGTGTTCTAAACTGAAACTTATTCAACTTGGGTTTGCTGATGATTTACTATTGTTTTGAAGAGGAGACACGGCATCTATCACTCACCTATATGATTGCTTCAAGATGTTTTCAGATGCATCTGGACTAATCGCTAATATCTCCAAGAGCTCAATTTATTTTGGTGGAGTGAAGGAAGTGATACAACACCAGATCCTTCAGATAATTGGAGTTAGTAAAGGTGCATTGCCATTCTGGTATCTTGGAGTGCCCCTAAGCACAAAAGGTTATCTATATTGCAGTGCCAACCTCTTTTGGTGAAGATGACGGGAAGAATAACATCATGGACAACAAAATTCCTATCCTATGTAGGTAGGGTCCAACTGATTAAAAGTGTATTGTTTTCTATACAAACATTTTGGTCCCAAGTATTTGTTCTTCCAAAAAAGATTACCAAAATGATTGAAGCATTATGTAGAAGATTTTTGTGGACAGGGGGTATTGAAACTTCAAAAAAGGCTCTAATTGCTTGGGATAAGCTATGCTACCCTAAGTCAGCTGGTGGGTTGAACCTGATAGATGTCAAAATATGAAATAAAGCAGCAATTGCCAAATTATTATGGAATCTAAGTAAGAAAAAAGATACACTCTGGGTACAGTGGGTACATACCTACTATGTGAAACATGGACTAGTCTGGGATACATATCCCAAACAAGCTTCATGGGTGATTCAGAAGATTTTCAAAGCTAAGAAATATTTTGAAGAGGCTCGGTATGACTCTACAAGCTTTCAGGATATTAAAACCTTCTCTATCAAAGCCGTATATCAGAAGTTGTTGGGTATTTTTCCAAAGGTACCTTGGAGGAGATTAGTATGTAATAACTGTGGAATTCCCAAATGGATCTTTATTGTTAGATTGGCTGCTTTGGGAAGATTGGCTACCAAGGATAGACTTGAAAAGTGGGGAGTAAATGTGAATACGGAGTGCCCTTTGTGTTTGATTGAACCGGAGACAGTGTCTCACCCCTTTTTTAAGTGTCACTTTGCTGCTAAAGTGTGGAGCAAGCTGCTTCACTGGCAAGGTATCAGCCGACAAGCTCTAACCTGGCAAGAGGAAGTGGAATGGATGATGAATAATTGCAAGGGAAAAGCTGCTAGTGCACACATTTATAGAATGGCTGTTGCAGGTTGTGTGTATCGTGTATGGAAAGAGCGAAATATGAGGATTTTTCAAGGCAAAAATACAAGTGTAGAATCTATTGTAAGAAAGGTCATCCAGGAGATATTTCATCGGGGTAACATGAAAGACAAGATCAAGGCACAGTTGGAAAACTTGAATTTCTATCCTGCATAGAACTTGTAATTCGGAAGTGTAGCTTGAGGTGTTATGGTGCTTCTTGGAGTTATGGTGTTTTCTAGTTTCTGGACCTATGAGTTAGGTACCAGTTTTTTTCTTTATTGCTTGTAATTCTTCCAGTTGGTTAATAAAAATTCTTTATTTACCCAAAAAAAAAAAAAACATTACTTTGGTTAATTAGTTTAACACATGCTTTATGTTAATTTATTTAGTATGAAATCAATATTAATTAGTTTAATATTAACAATACTTGTTAATTTGTTTAACATGTATAATATGTTAGTTAGTTTAACATTAAAGTAAATTTTATGTGAATTTGTATAGCATGTAATGAATGTTAATTAGTTTGACATTAATTTTATTTACATGCTAATATAAGTTATTTGTTAATTTATAATCCACATGGAACTGTAAAATCATGATAGATAATTATGTTGTCTTAAACATGATTAAGACACTTAGCTAGATAATTGAATAGGTTAATTTTCATTATATTTTTATTCTTGAACGATGATTGTGAACATAGTGAACTTTCGACTCCATAATTAATATATGTGTTTATTAACTTAATCAATTGATGTTTAGTGTCAAAATATGTATGTATGTAGAACATCGTGCCTTGCGTTATTTTTTTTCATGATCCTCATTTTATTTTTTATTTTGTTAAAGAATGACTACTGCTTCGAGAAACATTGTTGCTGAGCTCAACAAAGGGCTGAAACTCAATGGTGACAATTATGAAACCTGGAGCTTGAAAGTTCAGTATGTGCTAGCGGAGCAAGAGGCTCTGGAGACCATCAACAATGTCATGAATGAGCCTGAGGAAGGCAACACTGCTCAGCATAGGTGTGAGCGTGAAGCTTATGACAGTTGGAAGAAAAAGAACAAAGAACTCCATTGCTCGCATTACGTTGTTGAGCACCTTAGATGATGACATTCTAAGGGAGTTTAAGGATCACCAAAGAGCTATGGATCTTTGGAATGCTTTGAGGAAAAGGTTTGGTACCTGTTTCACTGCAAGGCTGAGATCCTTAACGATCAAATTTGACTCATATAAGAAACGCCCAGAACATTCAATGAAAACACATCTGAGGCAAATGACAAATATGATCGGGGAGTTGAAAGATGCTGGTCATGTGTTGACTGATGAACAACAAATTCAAGCTGTCATACGCTCTTTACCTAGTTCTTGGGATCATATGAAAATGTATTTGACCCATAATGAGCGAATCACAACTCTGGAAGATGTCCGGAGACACCTTGAGTTAGAGGAGGAACGACTTGAGGCTGCAAAGCCAATAGCTGAGTTGCACATGGCAACAACCTCCAAAATCAAGAGTCATTCAAAGAAAAGGAACAGGAGAAAGAAGAGAGGGCCACCTCAAGTTCAGCCTGCTAAAAGAGCAAAGACTGAAAAAGGCAAGAACAGACGTCCCAAACGTGTGAAAGTTGATAAAGTGAAATGCTATAATTGTGACAAGAAGGGTCACTATGCTAGAGATTGCTCTAAGCCTCCTAGAAAGGTATTTCACGATGCTCGAATTAGTGAACTTTGTGTTTCTAGTTCTGTTTTTCTAACTGAATCTAATCCGTTGTGGATTGTAGACTCAAGAGCAACGGACCACATAGCCTAGGAACGCAGTGCCTTTGTTGAATTTCGACGAGTTCCACGTGGAGCAAAGTGGATATATGTAGGCAACAACAATAAAGTTGCTGTTGAAGGGATCGGTACATGCGAGTTAGTCCTGCGTGGTGGTCGAGACCTAATACTACACGATATTCTCTTTGCACCAAAAATTCGCCGGAATGTTATTTCAGTTTCAGTTTTGCTTAAGTTAGGATTTGACTTGTTTTGTCATGGCAATTCTGCCAAGTTGACTTTTGGTTCAACTTTATTTGGTTTTGGTCATGTGACCAGAGGTTTAATTATTATGGATTTGGATTATGATTCATTTAATAATAATGCTAGTTTTTTTATGTTTGTTTCTTCACATAAATATGATAGTGATGTAAACATATGGCATGCTAGACGTGGTCATATTAGCCAACAAAGAATGCAAAGGTTAGCAAAACAAGGTTTGCTTTCCAGCATTGAACATGTGGAATTGTCCACTTGTAAAAATTGTCTAGCTGGAAAATCTGCAAGAAAACCTTTTGGTCAGGCGACTAGAGCCGAATATCCTTTGCAATTAGTCCATTCGGACATCTATGGGCCTATGAATGTTAGGGATAGGCATGGAGCAAATTATTTTATCACATTTGTTGATGACTTTACCCGTTTCAGTTATGTTTATTTGATTTCCCACAAATCAGAAGCAATAAGTTGCTTCAAAAGCTATATGAGCTTAGTGGAAAATCAATTAGACAAGAAGATAAAAGCTCTTCGAACTGATCGTGGTCGTGAAAATTTATCAACTCAGTTTAATAATTTATGTGATGAAAAGGGAATAGTTCATCAGTTGACTATCCCAAATACTCCACAACAAAATGGTGTTGCGGAGAGAAGAAACAAAACGCTCCTAGAAATGGTTAGGTCAATGATGGCACAAGCTAACCTCCCAATTAGTTACTGGGGTGATGCATTGCTTACTGCTACCTTTGTACTTAACCGAGTGCCTACAAAATCAGTTACTACCACTCCATATGAGTTATGGACTGGAAGACAACCCGACCTAAGTGATTAGAACTTGGGTGTGCTGCCTATACACATGATTCCTC